AATATATATTTTATATATAATAAAAATTTTAACTAATTTAATTACTAATTATCAAGAAAACTAAATTTAAAATTTAAGAAAATTTAATAAAATTTTATTATATATCATTACTAATCACTAATAATAATATTTAGCAAAGGTGCTATATATTGTTAGTAATCTAAAGATTACTAATAATATATATTACTTTTAAAATTTTTTTAATACAAATTTCATTAATTGTAGAATTTTAAAAAATAATTTTATTTCAGCAACTTAATTGATGTATCTGTGATTATAACTTTGTAATTTTAATTGTATTAAAACTAATTTTGAAAGCATGTAATATTATATAAATAAATTTTAAAAGTATATACTTTATAAGAAGTTCTATTTAAAAATCCTAAGTAAAAAGGTAGTATAATTTTTAACAGTTGTATACTTATTCTTGTATAAGCTATATATATATATATAATTAAAAATATAATAAAAATAATAACTACTATTAGGGGTATGATGACCTAGTGAAGTGGTCAGATTGTTAACCTCCCAAGTGGTAGGTTGGGTGTTCAAATCCCATCGACAGTAAAAATTTGGATAATCACCTATGTAATATTCATATTATGGCAACTGTTACTAATAGTTAGGTTAGGATACCTGTAATGGCAGTCACACCAACATAACTGACAGGTCATAGGGCATCTGTGCAATGTTGAAGTTATACAGAGAAATGCAAACTGACATATCAGGTGGTGCAAACACTAGATAAGTCCTCATGGCCATGTAAATCTATTGAAATTGGGTAACAAGAAGTTTATTTGGAAAGACCCGAGTAGAGAAGTAGATGGAACTTCGATGACCCTACTGTAAAGGCTAGTCTGGCAAAATAGATATCTAGGTTTAGTATCCGGTCTTAGTAACTAGATGGGCAAGAACCTTCAGGTTAGAAGTCTCAAGGTACCACCAACCAGGCCACCAGAACGAACTGAAGGAAAAGAATATTAAGTAACCTGATATACCAATAGACTGATCATAGTTCTACATAGGCTATCTGGATTTGAAGTTTGGTAAAAAGACAAGAGAAAAGGCAGGTGTATACTAAAGTACCAAGATTATACTATGAAGTAAATGCTAGAGTCTAAGTGAACTCTACAAGAACATAATGGTTTAATGGTTAATCCTGACCACAAGTGTTGGTTCTGTCATAGTAATACCTAAGTCAGCTATAAAAATAGGTACAGAAGGCTCTGAGAGGTTTACCTCGAAGATAAATTAGTCCTAAGGTTAAGACAATGATCTGAGCATCTGGGTATGACCCAGTAATGTTAACACAGATTACAGGTTCAGAGGGTTAAAGTAGAACATCCAAGCAAGGATGTTAGATATGACAATTGGTGAGGAACCTTCGAGCAGACTCTTTAAATAGGTAATATAGAAAAGTTACACATGTGCCAATTGTACACTCTCCTGTAGTGGTTCATTGAACCACAATACTGATAAGTGATTAATAAAAGTCAAAAGACCAAAGAGGTCACCTTAACAAAAAAAAAAAAATAACTACTGTTAATATTAACTTTAACAAAAAACAAAAAAAATTCAAAAATGTAATTAATAAAACCTATTATTTGTTATTAGTGCTATCTAAATTATTGGTTATAATTTTGTTTAAAAAATTAAGATTTAAAGTTATAAGTCTTTAAAGTTACTATTTTTAAAAAAAATTAACATTTAATATAAAAAAACAAAAAAAAATTTTATATTCAATCAGAATTAGTATATACCGAATTCTGATTGGATAAAAGGTATTTGTATATACCTCAAATTGGCGCATTTGATGCGAAAAAAGTTGAAACATCATATTAATATAAATTTATATATTGTATATATAAATAAACAACCCTTTAAATTATATAATATACTATAAAATAATAAGTTTCAAATTTAATAAATTTTAATATATTATACTATTATTATTATTTTTATAATAATAATAATAATGATATATATATATATTGCATGTTGGCAATACAAGCCACTCTCGTTATAGTGAAGTGATCCGTTCCGTTAATAAAAATTTTTTGAAAATCCATTATATCGAGTTTATTAGCAAATTCACTATATCGAGTAAATTTTATATAAGCTGGCTTTGAGCTTAACTTCACTATATCGAGATTTTAGTTAGTCTTCACTATAACGAGAGTGACTTGTACGTATTACCAACGCGCAATATATTGTATTATATACAATATTAATGCAATATATTTAGATAATATTGTATAAATTTATTTTTTATTGATATATATACGTAACCGAATTATTATTTACATTAATTTATAGTTATTGATAACTACACTATTTTTTAGATTGGTATAGTTTATGTTATCAGTTTAAGCTTTATTCTTTTATTCTTTTTTTTTTAGAATAAGACCATAAAATTTAAACTATAAAAAAAAATATAAAAACAGTAATAATGTAACATGAGAATTTTTACGTAGTGCGGTCATCAATAAAACATGCACAATAATTTTAATTAAATATAAAATTTAAAAACTAACTTAGCCAAATTGTAATTAGATTAATAAAAAATAATTTAACTAAAATAATTATATTTGAATTACTACATAATCGTTTTTGAAATACGTAGGCTTGAATTGTATTTAATCTGCATAATACGTACATGCTTATCGAACTATTTTGAATGTCCAAAACTATGTGATGAATAATATCCATGAGATATTTATTTCCTTATTGTTATTACTGAAATCGTGTGATGCTATCCATCACATAGTTTGGGCATCCAAATAGTCTGGGTAACATCGCGTCAAAGAAAAATAACATTTTGGTTGAAAAGCATTACTTGGTACATAAAAATTAAATGCCTTCCACTACGCTCCGGACAATTATAAATGAAGTAATCCTTTAATGATCTCTGTTGCGAATGTACATTTTACCTAAATATTTGTAGTCTATGAAAAAAGATCCGTACGAACCCTTGATAGGCTTAAAATATAAGGCCCGTAGCAAGACCTAGTTTGATTATTTATTATAATTTGCAGATTGTGATGGCGGCTCAACCTAGACAGTTTATTTAATGGACTAAATTGGTAATGATACTGTATATCGGGTTGGTGAAAAGTGACTTTTTTGATCGCTGATATACTATCACTATAGATTATCACTTAACGCTTATACCAATATTACGTAGTACAATAAATAATTATAGAAATTCGGAGATAGTAAAAAAGGTCACTGTCCAGTTACTTTCACCAACCCGGTATATAACATTGAACTCCCGTTTGCCACTGTCTACAGTACCCAGGGTCTTATTCAAGAACTCCATTTTTCAAACTGATTAGTACCCGTGGTGAAGTGTGAAGAACTGGGTACTTACTATATTTGGGGATATATTATTATATTAAAAGTGATAAATCAATATAGGTCTTATTCAAGTAACAAACCAATAGGGGTGAATAATACCCTGTCTTAATAATAGGGGTATTATTTTTAGGGGATGCGGCAAACGGCGGTATATTTATCACTTAACCTAATGTAAATCATATATGTATGATATGTACAACATATTGATATTGATATCAGATTTATTATGAATCGACAATTTCTCTTTATCCCGACAAATGTATACATTATTGGGAAATTTTGTTTTGTCGGAATTAATATTTATCGTATGCCTAATAATGGGGGACGTCTAAAGCGGAGGCAACTCGTATTTAATATCTAGGTTAGTTTAGGTTTTAGATGGTTATATATATGCAAAATTACCTTACCGACATTTTTAATTAACCTATCCAAGGCAGGTTTAGACTGCCAATTTTTATATTTTTCGGGTTTTTCGTTCTTATTTCTTTTTTGCTTCGCCGGCAATCATCAAAATTATATAATTTGATTGGCCGTTAATCCCGTGATTTACTTCTGCTTTAGAATCCTCACTATCACGTGACGATCGAAAACTTCTTTAAAGTTCTTTTAGGTTAGGGTTAGCGATTCTAATAAGATGAGGCACTAGTGGGGTTTATAGTAACATTGCTCAAGGAATTTTTTTTCTTATGAGAATAAGCGATTTTTGAAAAACGAACGTTTTGTTTTGATCTTTCTGATCGTGTAACGTTACATTAAAACGAGACTCGCTATTGGATGATCATCACGTGAAAGTGAAAATTTGTTGGTGCACCTGGGGTAGTTCCGCTTTAGATCTTCCCCAATAATGGTGTTATCCGATGTAATTTCAAAAATATCATGCCAAAAAAATCACATGATCATATAAAATGGAGATGAATGTCGAGAAGTTTGAAAACGTGGAATCAGATTTAAATAGATATTCCTTTTAGTCAAAATATTAGACATTGTCCAAACATGTGCCAATAACTTTGCTTTTAACTGATAACAATCAACGACATATATAAACATGCTTTGATAAAGAAAAATTATTGGGAATTTTTTAATTTAAATTATAAATATAAATTTATTTTGTTAATATACTAATTCTGTCAACTCATTTTGTTCGGTGCCCCACTCGGGATTTTGAATAGCCAGTAAAACTTCAGTAAATCCCATATAGATGAGTATATAGTTATCAATAATAAAGTTTTTTTTTTATATTTTTGTTTAATATATTTGGTAATCAATTTACGTACTTTTATTGCTAATTGTGTTCTACGTTTGGTTAGGGATTTCATACAATTATTTTCTAAATTTTGAATATTAATCGATGACTTGTAGATCCCTATGGCTTAATACCTGGTTATCTGAAACAGAGTATAGCTATTTCTAGCATCTAAATGGCTCTAGCAATATCACGAAACAACCAAACTCAATTCGATAATAACGAGAAACCTATAGAATTATAACGATAAACATATACGTAGAATCAATCCAGTCGAATTTTGGTTGTGATTTTGTAATATCATGTAATATCATTAGCGCTATTGTAGATACTCGGACACACTGACCTAAGAGCCCGAAGGTCCAAAATAATCGGTGATCAGTCAAATTATTTTCATATAATGGGAAATAAGGGTGCTATCCCGCGAAATAACTGAAACATTTTTTTTCGCTGATTAAAATAGCAATTATGAATCGTAAATCCCCAAGCAATCATAAAGAATTGTGGAGCAAAAATGGTTATACGAAAATTTTGCAAAATTTTAAGACTTTTGAAAAAAAAAGTTAAGACAAATTTAATTGTACATAACGATAGTAATCTTTCGCATAAAATCTACATAACTAATGCTGATTGGCTAAGCACCGTCTTGGGGTACATATATCTGTATACATTGTTGCGTATTATCGTTATACTCATAACGATAACGCTTAAACATACCAGTCCTGAAACAGAAACAATTGAATGTGTAATGACAAACCGGACCGATGTAGATCTCGGATCCAAAACAATTATGGCGTAAGCATGTACGTACGTACATAAGTGCTATTTTTTGAAACGCACAACGGAATTTGGCAATTATGCGTCAAACGTTGGTTAACAAATTTTTGCTAATCTACCAAAAATTTTCCACACTGTCGAAAATTTTGACTCTTTTAGCATAGTATAAATCACTTAACGCCTACTGTGGGAATCAGTACGCCGAATTTCCTTATAATGCTGAAGAAATTCAATTAAATTCATTGAATTGTATATATTTATTCAAATTATTCAAAATAAAAAACGATGTGGAATTCATCGACTTGTAAATCGGACATTCAGCCGTGACCTAATTTAGCTTTATTGAAGATTTTCGCTTAAAAAGAACAGGTGACATTAACTCGCCATTCTATTACATTCATCATCATTCACCCGAGTGGTACGAACAGCAAAAGTAATTAAAAACTTAACCTTAATTTCCGACCCTGCGTTATCAAAATAATTTCCATTTATGTGTCTTCCTGTCCCTAATATCCGTATTTATTCATAGCGCGAATACTATATATAAAGCGCTTGAAAAACTAAAATTTTCTTTGTTGCGTTTGCTAAAATTACCGAATGAATCTTTTTTCCTGAATTCTTTATTAAGCATTTGGTTTAAAAAAAAAGAAAAAAAATTCCATCCTAAAACACATTTTTAATCGTAAAGTATTCGATTTTTCTCTTGCAAGCAACCAAAATCATATCGATGAATATATTCTAGTACACTCTAAATATTAACATTAAAAAAAAAAAAAAAACTTTTTAGGAAACATTGCGCTCTAAAATTACACTCAAGATATAATAAAATAAAATAAATGGCACCTATTACCAATATTTCATCGTCATCGTCACGATCATCAATAACAGATTCTTCAATATTATCAAAAACGAGCAGTTCTTTACCTGAAGACCTTTTCTCTCAAGAATTGACAGAAAAACTCCAATACATAATGGAACAAGGAGAAGGAATAGAATTCCATGACTTAAATCAACAATTCATGATACCCAATAATCACATCTCATCAAACAATGAAATATACATTTCTAATTTTTTCCAAATACCCCAATATGAATCGTCAGGACTTCAAAAACTGCGTCCTCCATCACCACTAGATGTTGACTTATCAAAAACTTCACCCGGTGACCAAATTTTATCACCTGCAGAATTTGATGCCATATTCGCTTCTTTTTCTGCCATTGCTGGTGAGCCAGATGATTGTGAGTTCGATCGATTGTCATCTACATCAACAGACGATACATGTGCGCTCTTGGACGATGAGAAATTGTCACACGCTTTTGATTCCATTTCATTTAATGATATTACACTAGATGTGTAAAACAAGTGAACTTTCTAATTTCTGATAGAATTAGGCTATTTTGGGTAGTGAAATTGGGGTTCAGCATAGAAATTTAACGATAATTTTTAATTTCTCTTTGTCAGCAACATAAGAGTTATACAATCGTCTTTTTTTCTTTTTGTTTTCCATAAAAGTTATATCATCTCCTTATTTTAAAAATCATTTAGGATAAGATTATCAAAAATTATAATTTTTAATTTTTTTTAGGATGGAATTTATTTTTTCTTTATAACCATTTACTTAATTTTTAATATTAATATTGTAAATAGAATAGTGCTATCCTTATCTCATCGATATGACTTTTAATGTTTAAACGCTACAGACTAACTAACTATCACATTATCAGATTCAATAAAAAGGCTTTTCCAAAATTTTTTTAAGATTATCCATCCTTAACTATTATACGTATGTGTTAAGTTCTAAGATAAGATAGATGCTTTAGAGCGACCTTATTTGAATATGAAAATATCGCTAAGAGAAAACCCGCAAATCGTTTAATGATTTTTTTTTTACCTATCAAAAATTATGATAAAGAAATGCGTGCTGTCGAATGTCAAAACGAACAAATTAACTGGATCAATTGCTTTCGATAAGTTGAAAGCTTATTAATCGTCATAGAAACAGCTAAAGCTGGAAGTTGAGGGTATCTCTCTATAAGTGCACTCTTTGGGGAAGTTATAGAAGCCTAACTATAATGAGTACTCTAAATACATTATACTATTTCGGAAGTTAAATTTTGGTACGTACTTGTATGTCGCACTTGCAGATATTGACCATATTTAAAAATCATGAATCTACTAACAATCCACTTGTACGTACTCTATTATAACTTCTAACCTTAAATTCAGTACTAACTATAAGAAAATTAAAAAAGAATGCATCCGAGTTCGATTTCCAGCTTCATTCGCAATAATCAATGACTATTCAATTTGCCGTTAGAATAATGCTCATTTAAAATTAATTCTAAAGTAGTACTATGCATGTTCGTTGTTTTAGAAGTTATTTATATATTAGATACTGTATCCAATGACTAGAAATGAACGGTACTAATTTACAGGCTTTCTCTTAGTGTCATACATATTTAATTAGTACATTTTAATGCACCAGTCTGGGTTAGAGTACTCCGAAGCATGATATTCAAATTAACAACTCTTAGAACTAGAGCCAATGCATCAAATTTTACCAGGAAAATTGAAAAATAATTTAATAAATTTAATTATTTAAAGTTTTTTTTTTATTTTTTATCCCTGTTGCATTTGCAGCTAGAGGCGCAGGTGGCGCTCTTTATTAAGGCATTATGAATACGTACGTAGTCTAAATGCATTTTAAATATTTACAAAGCAATTTAGCAGATTTGGACCTATTACTAAGTATGTTATACTTTAAGATGCATATTTTTCTAGATATATATACAATTTTTAACTAAAAAGTTAAAAGAGTTAAGTAATGTGTTTAAATCTTCTCATTTCAATAAGATGTATTAATACTAAATTTCATAGATTATATTAATGTGTAGTCAGGTTAAAACTGTCGAAACTTGAGAGCAGTTACTATTCAAAGTTTGAAATATATTTTTTATTGTAGTTGACAACATTTTCTTTTTATTAATATTAAGAAATTTATAAGTTTTGTTTTAGATTATTATACTTTTAGAGCACTCAATAGCAAAATGTTTTATAGTTTGTAGTTTATTTGAGTATTAAGCACAATCTTCTATCTTAAATAATCAAATATATTTAAGTTAATAATTCAAAAGAAATACTCTATAAAAAAAATATTAGAAGATGTTTTTTTTATTATATATAGATTTTAAAAAAAGTCAAACAAAATGAATATTTTGTAAAAAATCTAAAATAAAATAAATAAATAAATAGATTTTTTTAAAAGCTCTAAAATTTTTTTAACTAAAAACTTATTTTCTTTAATTTTTTTAATTATAATTATTTTTTATTTTAAGTTTAGTTATAAATAAAAGAAATCTTTTTTTAATTTTTGTCTAGACTGTTAAATTTTTATTCTAAATATCAGACTTTATATATCTAGTATTTATATAAAAAAATTTTTTTTTGTTTTTAAGTATTAAGCTTATTTTGTTTCTTTTATATGTTATTTATATTAAAAAATTTAAAGAAGTTTTATTTAAACAAAATTAAATATTTAATATATTTTTTATAATTTAAAAATTAATTACAAAAAAAATTCATCATCACTCTTTCCACTAATCCATTTGTACAAATTTGAAAAATACACAATCAACGATAACACAAAAACAACATAGAAAACTCACAAAAGAGTCATAAGAAAGAAGAAGCAGAAAGATAAAATACATGGAAATTGTATAAAGACATAGCAGCTAAAAAGAACTTGAAAGACACTAAAACAGGAACTTTGCAAAAACAAAATTTCTTGAAAAATTTTTTTTGGAAAAATTTTTTGGGAATTGTTATCGATCCTGAAAACAACAAATAGAAACACGTGACTAAAAGCAAAAGTAAACAAACAAGGATGAGTACAAATTTAGTAATAGATAAAATATACAACAAACAAACAAAGGTAAACAAACAAATACAACATATGCAGAAAAATCTAGAAGAAGATCTGGTTCAAGTAGAAGGTACTTAAATACAAAGTCTGCTTAAGTATGTTAGCAATTATGGAGCATGAGTAGTCGAATATGTAAACAACAAAGAGCTAGTTAAAGTTTTAGAGAAGACAAAACCATCGAGTCCAGATGACATAGAGCTAATAGCAAAGAGTCTAGTAATTGAAGATGTAAGCAAAATTATAGTATACGACTTGGTTCTTTACGGTCAGATAATAGCAGCACTAAGAAAAGCAGAAAGCATATAGCTACAAAGTGAAATCATTTCAGATTGTGTCAGAAGAATTAGAATTATGAGCCTAAACCCAAAATTAGTAGATTATCTTTTAAATATGACATCAGAAGAAGTAATTAGAGAAGAAGACAAGATGCAAGGTGTTGAAATTATTATGAAAAATGAAGACATGCAAGCAGAATATAGTAAAAAAAGACAGCAAATAGAAACAGAAGAACTAGAAAAAAAGCAAAAAGTAAACAAAAAATTTAATAATGGCACTGATAAACAAAAAACAGGAGCAACACAAAATGATAAATTGCAAATGCAAATTCAACAAACAGAGAAAACATATATGACACTAGGACAAAGCACCTGAGCATCAGCAAATAGACTATATAACACAAACAGCTCACACTGTACAAGAATACCAGCATACAACCTGAAAGGTAACACAATTCAAGAAAAATTGCAACATATAAAAGTGATGTTAGGAGAAAACAAGCACATAAAGTTAGTCGAAGAAACAATAAAAGAAAATAGCAAATAGATAGAAATAGATTTTGATTGCAACTACAGCAGAGAAAAAGCAACAAAAGAATTACAAAAGCAAAATATCAAAGAAGTACAAATTATAAGAAAAAGAGAAGAAAAGAAAGTCAAACATCAAGTAAGAGTTATTGCACTAAAAGAGAACCAAAAAGCTGAAGAACCTTACAAAACATACAAAGATAAAGGGAAAGGGAAAGTAGCAGAAATGAAAGAAACAAACAAATTTCTAATGATCTAGGACCTACTAGCAGATATAAAAGAAGAAGAAGTCAAATATATATGTAGAAACATAAGAAGTGCACAAGTGGTCAAGATCAAAAGAACAAGATTCAAAGCTTTAGCAATAATCAAGTCCAGCTATTTAAAAAAAGAAAGAGCTCTATGGTCTCTTCCAATTGGTAGCAATAACCTAGCATGTGTCACATGGAGCTACGAAGACTATAAGCAAAAAGAAAAACAAGGAAGACACACAATTAAACTAATGGGATTAGCAAGAGGAGCCTCAGAAGTATTATTACTAAGAAGCCTTAGAAACAAAGGAGCAAAGGCAGTCCACATTCCTCCTAACAGAAATGGAAACCCAAGAAGCATTGCAGTAATAACCTTTGAAAATAATGAAAACCTCAAGAGAGCGAGTAGTAAACCAGTAAGATACTACAATTATACACTATATTGGAAATCAACTGAAGAAAGAAAACCAGAAAGTAAGAACACACTGACCTATGAAACAAAAATAAGGAAAGAAAACAACACAAAAGAGAAGCACCAAGAAGCCAATGGAGAGCTTAACTACAAGGCTGAAATAACAAATACAGAAAGAAACAAGAAAAGTAAAAACAGCAAAGAAGACATACTAACCATCTGGGAAAGAATAGATTAATATCAAACCACGTTACAAAAAATACTAGAAAAATTAGAAAAGATAAGTGAGGAGCAGGAGAATCCTGCACAACACTCCTGAAAACCGCCTTGATTGAAAACACGAATATAGATAAGGAGATTACAGACTTCCTGCAAAACGAAAAGGAAATATATGAAAGTACACAAAGAGAAAAAACTCCTTATCTTTTTAAAAACCACAGCAGGAAGAACAAGGGTAAAGAGAAAGAGACAAACAGAGCAGAGGAAATTAATGAACTTAAAGAAGAATGGAAAGAAACAAATAGAAAAGAATTCAGAATAGCATGTCACAACATTAACGGGCTTAAAACTAGAGGATGGAAATTGGGAAATCTTTTAGGTTGGGCAGAGAAAGAAAAGATATCAATATTGGGAATAACAGAAACAAACATTGCAGAAAAAGAAGAGAAGTTTCTAGTATATGACCTTAATACATATTATAAGAGTTACTGGACTAGTGCAGTACTAGACAAGAAAAAAGGTTCAGGGATTGGTATACTGATAGAAGAAAAGTGGGAAAAACATATAGAAGCTGTCAAAAGGATTAGCGAATATATAATAGAAGTGTGGCTATACTTTAAACAATTAGAACTGATAGTGATAGAAATATATATCCCACCGAATGACAAGACAATCAGCAAAAACATTCAACAAAAGGTGGTAGAAGTAATAACAAACAGAAAGAGACACACAGAAGTGATTATATTAGGA